CCCCAAAACCCCAAAACCCCAAAACCCCAAAACCCCGAGAAAGCTGACACATATTGGATCTTATAAGATTTAACCAAATTAACACTTTCAGGTGAAATGGCACTCAACTGTAGTACCTATATTTTCTTCGGAATGCAAGCTTATTGTCCCATCCAGCTTCTCTATAATCTTCTTGCAGATCGTGAGACCGAGCCCGCAGCCAGTCTTGTTTCTGTTATGGTTCGAGCTGAGTTTACCGAAGAGTTTGAACAGAGACTTCTGGTCAACTTTGGAGATGCCGATGCCAGTGTCGATCACTTTAAGAGTGATATCAATTGTGGCTTCGAACTTCGATTCTTGCTCAGCATTGCTAGCTAATATGGATCTATTTGTACGAAAGCAATAGTCCGTGAAGTCATGTCTGCTTTGAATGTTGTTTGATGTTTCAGAAGGTAGTTCTAAATTTTATTAATGATTGCTTACCAAGGCTTCCATCTTTGTCAATATTTTTCATGTCTCAAAAATACTCTTGATTTCAAAATTGACCACTTTCTGAGAATTTTGATTCTTCAGCATGTTTGGATTCTTCCTCATTTTGTTTTTCACGAATCTCAATTGTGATTGACCCTCTGTCTGTAAACTTGAGTGCATTAGACACCAAGTTCATAATCACCTGTTTGAGTCTGCCTTTATCTGACATGATTGGCAGCTCTCTCAGCTTGTCTTGAATGTCTATTCTGAGTTGGAGTCCTTTGCCATCAGCTTGCAATGTGAACACTTCCTGTATTTCGTGCAAACACTCAGTAATAGTGAAGACTTCTTCGTTGATCTGGAACACTCCTGATTCCAATTTGGCATGATCCAGGATGTCTTCGACTAGCATCCCCAGAATGCTACACGAAGATGAAGCAATTCGGACGAGCCTGTTGCTGTGTCCCAAATCCTGCATTCGCATCAACTCAAGAGAAGCCACAATCGAATTCAGAGGTGTCCTGAATTCATGAGACACATTCGAGAGCATCTGACGCTGATAATGATTCTGAGCCTTGGCTTCTTCAAGCTGACTTATCTGGGTGGTTTCAACGAACATATGAATGTATGAAGAGTCTTTTCCTAATGAACCAGCTGCATCAACAGTGGTTGTTTTGACTATGAATTCTCGATGCTGTTGGTATAACAGTTCTTCGAATTCACCAAGTTCATATTTTATATTAATCTTGGATTCTTTGCTGCAATGAATCCCACTAATCATTGATTTGCGTTCATTTTGCAAGAATTGGCCAAGTGTTTTCTTTCTCCTGTATTCATCAAAATTCTGAAATTGCTGATCATCACTTTGATAGGATTCATCAAGTTGATTGGACAGATTTTGCTCATCTTGGAGAAACTTCGAGCTCGTTCACTCAATTGTGAATTTTTCTAGAAAGTCTACCAGCATAAGATTAGAGTCAAGTGAAATTTTATTATGCCCTCGTATGTCTTGAGACGAAAGATCTTTAACAATCTTCTCAAGCCTCTCGCTTGCCCTATCTTGGGCTAAATTGACGACATCCTGCACTGACTTAGATCTGCAAAATTCTTTGATGTTGAGAGTCTGCTTAATTTTAGAGTTCGTGTATTTGTACTCATTGTGCTTGTTGGCAATAAGTACTCCTTCAGGTAAACTGTTGAGGATTTCCTTTTGTCCTTTCATAGTTTTGTTGTTGTTGTAGTTAGCAATAAATTCATCCCTCAAGTTTATCGAGTAACAATATGAGCCGAAAATGAAGAACACTAAGGCATATACTGTTCCAAGATAGTAAATATCGTTGAGAACTCCAAACCTATTTTTGAGTCTGACCCAGCCGTAAAGGTGCAGTAATCACTGATTCATGCAGCAAACTTTCCAATTGGTAGCAACGCACGTGCTGAATGTATATCCTACCATTAGTTGTACCAAGTAGCCTTCGTTAATCCTAAACTTATTGCTCTAAAATTACCTGAACGTCGTAAACCTAAGGTTGACTTCAGTCATCTGGATATACATTGCTGAAGATATGAAAATTCCTGAGTAATTGATTATCCAGTCGTGCTTCTTAAGTCCTTTTGGGATTAAATGCATGAACAATATTTCAGCAGATAGGAGAATGATCCTGGACCAAAAAGGTTCCTTCTTAGAGCCAAGAATGTAGACAAGCTGTGTCACAAACACATATTTCAACACTTGTGCCAGAACCTTCCAGTTATTTCCTACTATGGTCTAGCTTCTTCTTGTAGTATTCTCTTTGAAGATTCTTATCATCTGGGAACTCATTAAACCAATATTTTGGATATTCCAAAACTCCTTTCAAATCCCATCTCCTTTTCCTTCAAAGGAATGATTCTTCCTATATAACAACTCTAAGATTATTTCACCATAACCCCTCAAAAATGCCAAACCTATAGTCTCTTTCATCCAACTTCTACCAATTCCCAACCCCAAAACCCCAAAACCCCAAAACCCCAGAAGTTTATTATATTATTGAAATTAGAAATGGGAGATATTGTCTGCTGAGCTTTTAGAGACAAACCAGAGAATAGTAATGCAGTGCCGTGTAGTATGGTCGAGACAAGTGAGAAGAGAGATGTTGATTGGGAGAGAAAGACTGATGATGCCCATCAAAATTTAGATCCTTTAGTAAAGTAGGTCGAATTATATATCAATGGTTTATAGAAAATTGCTTATGTTTTAATTTTGAAGCTTTTGAATTTTTGTTATTAGACCATATTGCTTATTTCTTGAACCATTATTTTGCTATCCAAAATAAACGTGCTATTTATTGACAATGTAAAGTACAACTCTTACATTAATCTACTAGTCATGATCAAAATAAATAAAATTTCTTGATATTGTTATAATGCTTGCTCATGCAAAAATAAAATTTTACAGTATCATTCCTTTATATTAAAAGATTAAGTTAAGCATTGTGAAGCTACGAAAATTCCTTGAAAATTTATTAATTATAGAAAAAAATCTAAATCAACATGCATACTAACCCCACATTTAGATCCTCCATTACTGCACCTTTTTCAATTTCCCCCGCAAGACCACAAAACCCAAGACATCTCAAAAAATCTAAAAAATACTTTACCTAAAACCTTCACACTAACCCCAACCCCCCAAAATCTCCCTTCTTAACCCACAACCCCCACTCTACCCCTAACCCATCCCCATCCCATCGAGCCATTCCTCTCCACCTACCCCTTACTTTCCTCACTAAATATCCCACATATCAATCCAAGTTCAGTACAAATCTGCTAAAGTTGAACTAGATGAGGAGTATTCATATCTTTTTAAGTTAGAAATCTAAAATACTGAAATTTTCGAAGGTAGAAACTTATTTAGATAAAATTGAAGAGTAAATGGGAGCCTTTAAGGAAAAGAGGAGACCTTTTATTTTATGTAATACAGAGTGCAAATTCATGTACTAATTAGAACATTTTCATTAGTTTCCCTTCTAAAATTACATCAACCTCAAATACATTATCCCCCACCACATCCTCTTCTCTCAATATCAACTACAATCCCAAATCCAAAGAGCCAAATCCCTCACCAATACCAACTCTCCCCCTCAGCCCCTTCCACCATCCCTTCACTCCAAAAATTACCCCTCTCCACTCTCTTCTCCTCCTTTCTCCCTCCCCAGTCCCTTCCTCTTCACCTTAACAGACCAATACTTCTGCCTGGAAGAGGACCGGCTGGTTGTAATAAAGCACAAGGTAATTTTTATAGATTTTAGGGATTTTCAGCAGCCTTGGTGAGGTTCGGGGTTTTGGGGTTTTGGGGTTTTGGGGTTTTGGGG